CGGGGCTCGAACTCACGGACCGTGAGAACATTTTAAATTCTCCTGGTGAGAAATGCCCGTGGATACGTAAAACCAGGGCGGTGTTGTTCTGGCTGGCGCCTTACTTTGCAGAACTACCCGAGCACAGCGTGTGGGGGAGCCGCCCAATTTCCGTGAGGAATTTACAAGAAGAAGGGCCTCAGAAGAAACCAAACCCGCAGACACCTTGACCTTGACCTTGGACCTCAAGCTTCCAGGACTGTGCGAAAATAAATTTCTGTCGGTTAAGCCACACAGTCTGTGGTACTTTGTTACGGCCACTTTCACAAACTGATACAGGGGGCTTCTAAGATATTGGCAGTATTTTGACTTTGCAGCTGCGGGGTAGGCACCCGAATAACTATTTTATTCTTTTAACATTGTAGTGGTGCATTTTATATACCCATTTGGATATGCTCTTCCCAATTAGAAAAGTAGAATTACGGGGACCATCAAAACATTTCTGGCCCCTACTGATTAGCATCGAACTGATTTATTCAGCAAATGTAGTTCTCGAAGCATTCAATAAAAGACACAGTTCCATTAGGGTAATCAATATATCATTTTTCAGAAAAGGGATGCTGTATTTAACCAGCACTAAGTTCATTATCTCCAGTGCATAAAAATCAAAAGAAAATGGAATGAATACATGCTTTTAAGCTAAGCAATCTAATGCATTTAGTGGTTTTGCATGAAAATAGCTCTCTGTTCTTTTTCCCCATTGATTTCTCCTGTATCATCATCTCAACTAAAATGTACACATAAAGATCTTTTTTTTTTTTTTTTTTTTTTTTTTTTTTGCCTCCCTAGGGAAAAATGTATTCATCTGAAAGATGTTGACATAGGAATGTTATCACAGCCCCTGTAGAGCCTTCATGTGGAATTAGTATAAATGTTAATGTTGAAGCTAGTTAAATTTGGGAGAAGTAAAAAAGTGGGACTGCAAACATATTACTTTTATTCACAAATATAATTGTCAGAATTGACCTTTAAAATATGATGCATGTGTCAATGTCTTAGGCAAAGACAATTTATAATTAAAGTAACTAAGTTATTGACACATACACATATATTAGATACATGCCAATAGACATATATACATATGCTGGGGACACGTTGACAAAATATTGAGACGTATTTTTGTTCCAATATTTTATTGTAAACATAACTAATAATTCCATTTTCTGAGATAAGTACACATTGCAAGCCCTGGAGAGCACATTCTATGCACATTTGTAATTAAATCTCAGTGTCAGAAAATATAGGAGCATTTAGGCAAAAATCCCCGTGACAGATTCAAGAGCAAATCCAGGACTTACAAGCACTTTTACACACTGTATTAAAATCCAAAGAAGTGACGTGTGTTTAATGTTGCATAAGATTGGAATAGGAATACTAACTTTAAAAGTTCAGCAAACGGGTGCCTGGGTGGCTCAGTCAGTTAAGCATCTGACTTCGGCTCAGGTCTGACCTCACAGGTTTGTAGGTTCAAGCTCCGCATCAGGCTCGACAGCTCGGAGCCTGGAGCCTGCTTCCGAGTCTGTGTCTCCCTCTCTCTCTGCCCCTCCCCTAGTCTCGTGCTCTCTCTCTCTCTCTCTCTCTCTCTCTCTCTCAAAAATAAATTAAAAAAAAATTAAAAGTCCAGCAAACACTCAGAAATCCATACGATTCTTATGAACAGCAGATAGTGTCAAAACACATCAGTTAAGACATGTAATTTTTACATCGCTAGATGTTTGTTTCATCATTAGCTGGAATGAATCTGTACAAAACAAGGTCTGTTTAAACCCAGAAAATATATATAAGCATTTCATTTACATGGAAATTTACCACTTTAACTCTCAAGCTTAAGTAACTTCTTCAAAAATGGTATCACTCATAGGGGCGCCTGGGTGGCGCAGTCGGTTAAGTGTCCGACTTCAGCCAGGTCACGATCTCACGGTCCGTGAGTTCGAGCCCCGCGTCGGGCTCTGGGCTGATGGCTCAGAGCCTGGAGCCTGTTTCCGATTCTGTGTCTCCCTCTCTCTCTGCCCCTCCCCCGTTCATGCTCTGTCTCTCTCTGTCCCAAAAATAAATAAACGTTGAAAAAAAAAATTAAAAAAAAAATGGTATCACTCATCAATTAAAATCGAGAAGAGCTTTCTTAATGTGCACTGAAACAAACAAAAACACTTGGGGTTGCACCTAATTATATCCCCTGAGGCACCAATATTTACAATCATCTATTGCTTGGGCAGCAATTGAATGATGCAAATTTTAGGTCTTTATTACTGACTCAGAGATGCTCAATGAAGACGGAAATGTCCGTGGACTTTTTGTCAAGGTAGGAACGTTCTCTTGCTCTGCTGTCCAGTGGTGGCAGTGACTAGCCACATCTTGCTGCTAAGTCTAAAATGTGTCCAGTGAAGGGGCGCCTGGGTGGTTCAGTCCATCAAGCGTCCGGCTTCGGCTCAGGTCATGATCTCGTGGTTCACGAGTTCGAGCCCCGCGTCCTGCTCTATGCTGACAGCTCGGAGCCTGGAGCCCGCTTCGGGTTCTGTGTCTCCCTCTCTCTCTGCGCCCCTCCCCTGCTCACATTCTGTCTCTCTCTCTCTCTCTCTCTCTCTCGCTCGCTCGCTCAAAAATAAACATTAAAATTTTTTTAAAAATGTAAATGAGTCCAGTGAGACTGATAAACTGATTTTTAAATTTTATTTCAGTTAATTTACATTTAAATACATATGTGGCTAATGGTGACCATATTCGAAGTAGGAAACTACCCACATGTGCCAAGGGCAGCCCTGAAAATAAAGTTACATATTGTTTCACCCTTTATGATGCTATCCTAGTCACATGGCACTAGTGAATGCATGTTTTAACCTTTTCCCAAAACTCGAGTGTTTTGTTTCATTTTGACTCATGTTGGATGCTGGAACTTAGAATCCATTTTCTCCTGTAACATAGTAACATGTGGTTAGTTAATCCACAGTGTAGATGAAATGCTGTGTTGTAAGAGCAGCCTTTTGAAATCTGGAGTTATGATAGGGCCTTTTAAAACTGGAATATTAGACAGGGTGCCTGGGTGGCTCAGTCGATTAAGCGTCCAACTCATGCTCAGGTCTCACGGTTTGTGGGTTTGAGCCCCGCGTCGGGCTCTGTGCTGACAGCTCAGAGCCTGGAGCCTGCTTCGGATTCTGTGTCTCCTTCTCTCTCTGCCCCTCCCCCATGTGAGCTCGGTCTCTCTCTGTGACATAATACATAAATAAATGTTAAAAAATTTTTTAAAACAACATTGATGGCGCGCCTGGTTGGCTCAGTTGGTTGGGTGTCTGACTCTTGATTTCGGCTCAAGTCATGATCTCAGGGCCATGGGATTGGGACCTATATAGGGCTCCATGCTGAACATGGAACCTGCTTAAGATTCATTCATTCATTCATTCTCTCTCTCTCTCTCTCTCTCCCTCACTCCCCCAGCCCCTCTCCCCATTCACTCTGTCTCTATAAAATTAAATTAAAGAATTTTAAATTCTCCCAGTGAGAAATGCCCCATGGCTATGTAAACCCCCCATTTGAGACATGCTGGCCTAGATAAAGGGGAATTGGAAGTGACTGTACCAGAATCTCTAAGGGTGCACAGCAGGAAAGGGAGCACAGAGGGGCTTCATAGAATACCTTTGAGTTAGCAAATAAATTTTGATTTGGGTAAGGACTTTGAATGGTTAGGCTCAAAAGTAGGAGTGTGGCACACGTGACCGCCCTGGGTTGGCAGGGCATGGGTTAAGGGACACTGTCATACAGGTGCGTTCTCAGGGCAAGGCAAGAAACTCATTGGGATTTCTGGGACACAACAGAGAACATAGGTGCCTGCCCCCCACTGATAGATGGGCACACGTGAACTGGGTTTCCTGGAGCCTAGAGAAGGAGAGTGTCTGCCTCGTAAGAAGAAGAGGTTGGCAGAGATGTGTGCCCTATTCATTGATTCCTTCCTTCACCAACTATTAATTGGGCTTCTTTTATTTCTCTGGTGCTTTTGTGGACATAATAAGTAAGAGGAAGTCAACATACTGAGTTATCGCAAGGAGGAAGGAAGTTCTTCCTTACGGGGAGGGAAAGGGCAGGAGGCTAGAAGAACGCCTACCGGGGAAGATGGGCTTGCAATGAGATTGAGGAGTGAGGTAAGATTTCCTCAACTTGCCGACGTTTAAGCCGGAACTGAGTAGAATAGCTGAGGGGAAGCGTTCCAAGCGGCGGGAACAGCATGCACGAAGATGAGCCCTGCAGAGGAGCTCGGTGTGTCTGAGGAGCTGGCAAGGCCAGTGCGGTGACAGCCAGGTGGTTGAGGAGAGCCATACAGACCCTGAAGTCCCAGCGCCAGTGCGGGCTCATTGCAAAAGGGGGTGGGTTGATGAGGAGGTGTTTTTCAAAGCACACTCGTGTTGCCATTGGAGAATGAATGGGAAGAAGGCAGAGGTGGACGGACCCAGGTTAGGACGGCTTTGCAGGAATCCCGGTGAGAGTGACTGCACATTGACCTGGAGAGGGGTGGAGAGGTGTATAAGGTGTTACAGGAGTTGCAGTTTGGAGGGCAGCCCCGAAGGAGATCTTCATGGAGTAGGAGGAACTAGAGAGAGAGAAGAAGGTTTCAGACGGATCTTCACCTTTCTGACACGAGCAGTTGGGGAAATGAAGATGCCCTTTATGGAGACAGGGAAACTGAGGAAGGAGTTTAATCGTGGGAGGTGGGGAGAGTGAAGAAGGGTCTCAAGGGTATGTGGCCAAAGGAAAGGGGTGCAGGCCATGTTCACGCTGTCCCGGAAGGCGCTGCGTCCTCCAGACTCTGGTCCTGGTTGACCTGGTCTCCTCCACTTGGGGGTCTCAGACCGGTCCCAAGAAGAAAATGTGTTTTTTCTCGGCCTCCGTGGCATATGCCTTCAGAGCAGAGTCAAACGTTGACAAGTGAATGTGAAACGTGTCTCGGCTGACTTCTCTTATTTATCTTTCAGAATCATCCGGACGTGTTGAATATTCGAATACAACTGGAAAGCAAAGAGCTGATCGTAAACCTGGAAAGAAACGAGTAAGTCACGTTAATTCTTGTTTGCCGCGCCGCAGGAGAAAGTGAGGAGCCGTGGGCTCAACGTGCTGTGTCACCCGCCTTGGCGTTTAGAGAAACAGAATGAAATGCATGGGTTCATAATCCAGTTTGGATCTGAGGCTGGAATTAACTTGAAGACATGATTCCAATGGAAAAACAAAAGAATTGTATCACTCTAAGAAAGAAGTCTGTGAATCAGCAGGTTTTTCTCCGAGTTCTGATGTTCCTTTTTTTTTTCAGAGCCTGATTTGTCAAGGGTAGAATTTAAGCATCTTCTGTTCAAATAACAGCATTCCATAATTAGTTGGCTTTTGGCAATCCCTGGCTTATATAAGGAGAAATTGCTTCAAATGAATAGAATCTCTTTTTTTTCCCCCTGAGAAATACCAAGGGTTTATTTATCTTTCAGAGCTTGTCTCCAGTGGCACAAAGTATTTATTTTATCTTTCTGTTTAAAAATTTGACCTTTTTTTTTTGCAAAATTATATGAATTTCCAAAAATGGTATTCTATTTCTTTTCCTGGAGCAGATGAATATTATTACATATTTTGTATGGCTTCCCAGTAGAAAACTGTGTCTACTTCAAGGCGTAAAGTAACACAAGCCCTGTTCCTGTCATCCTTTATACCCTGGCTCTCCCCATGGGTTCCTCAGACCCAAAGGACCCCTTACTATGCTATTTGACTAGTATCAGGAAAGATCTGTGTGTTCCTAATAAGCAATCTGTAGCTAAAGCTGTAAATCAAGTTACCAAGTGCCGCATGATTCAAAAAGGAGTTTCTGTCTTCTAGAATTACTGGGTCCTATTCGTCACGTATCAGTGAAGTGCTGACTTTTTCTGCAGTGACAGAGTAGATAAGAGAGCCTCCCTGGAACGAGTTCTGCCAGAGACACGTGTCGCAAAAATCTGACTCTGTGTCTCCACGTGAGCAGGTCAGATCGCTTACTGTCTCCGTGCTTTGATTTGAGGGTCCCAAGCAAATAGGATAGCATGGGCTGTTCGTGGGGACCTGCGACCTGCCTCTTCATGTTTCCTGCGTGTTTACCCCTCACCGTTAAATGGGGTGAAAGCTTTTGTAAAGGGGCGTCTGGGTGGCTCAGTTGGTTGAGCGTCTTCACTCAGGTCATGATCTCACAGTTGGTGAGTTCGAGCCCCACATCGAGCTCTTTGCAGTCAGTGCAGAGCCTGCTACAGATCCTCTGTCTCCCTCTCTCTCTGCCCCTCTTCCATTCACGCGCTCTCTCTCTCTCTCTCAAAAATAATTAAACATTGAAAGAGATAGACTTAAAAAAGGTAAAGCTTTGGTTAGCAGTAGATAATGTGCTTTTAGCCTTCCTCGTGACTTGGTGACCTTAAAGCAGAGGTTCGGGCACGCATCTTGGATGAGCAGGTTGCCGGGCAGAAAACTGTGCTGCCTTTGCTGTGTTTCTCTTAGCGAAGTAAATATGTTACCTGTCTTTTTTTTTTTTTTTTTCCACGTAAGAATGCCATGAGACATTTTAAGTTTTGTAAATTGCTCTTCGTAGGTGGTTTCCAACTATCTCAATGGACGAAACTAGGCATTCCCTGAAAGAGCAAAAGAGAGTAAGGCTTCTGGTGGTGATCGTGTCCTCAGTGGGGTTTTAGGATTGCTGCTGGCTTTTGGTGGCTTCTCCTTTTGTCAGAATTTTGGGAGATGCGGGGAACAGTGTGAGTGGTGCCCATCCCAGACCTTCAGATGGTGGTAGGACTCCAGATAGGAGAACGGAAATCCACTTAATAAAAACCTTAATTTATTTGTTTTTACTCTAAAAGGGATACATGTCCACGGTAGAAAATTGAAAATCACAGGAGAAAAAAAAGAACAAAGAGCCAAAAATAAAATACTTCTACTACCAAACACAATCCTGATTAATATTTCAAGGGTTGTTCAAATACATTTTTTTTCCTTATAAATAAGGCTTTAGGGTTTTTTTTGTTTTTTTGTTTTTTGTCTTCTTGGTGGATATCGTGGTCTGTGTACTTCTTCCTTTAGCTTTATAATGGGCGTTTCCATATAGAAATGCAGTCCTTAGTGCCCATCTGGTTCTCTGAGTCTGTGGTTCTTTTCCAAAATGATTCACTGGCTATTAAGGCGGATAGTATGATACGCAGTGACTGTGGCACAGTGGCTAGTTTGTATAAAAGATCATTTTGAAGGGAGCCTTCATTTGTTCACTTCCAATTCTGGGCCCTTCACAAAATAATCTCAAGATTAGAAAAGTTGAAAACAAAACGATCGCTTCTTGATTGATATCTCTCTTCCACCCTCCCTGTCAACTGACATTTTAGAAAGTACATGGAGAGTGTTGGGTATGTTTCCACGACATTCTACAGCTTTATTTTAATTATACCACTTATTAATACTACAATCGTAGAGATTCTGTTCTCCTAAAAATAACATTTTTATAATTAGAGCATGCCAGTGTTACTATTTGAAAGTTGCATTTCCCTGAAATACTTCCGAATAATATTTATTTTTTTTTTTTGAGAAAAATTACATGTCTGTTCCATGTCGACTTCATTTTTGAGATAATACCAAAAATCTGCCATTTTTTAGGCAGAGCGAAATGCTTGCATCTTTCTAGCCCTTGATGCTGTTAAACACAAAATATAATCCATTGTCCAGGATAAAGTAGAATTTTTCATTCACATAGCCTTTGGTCCAATAGATCCAATTAGAGAGTTTATCCACATGAAGCTATAAGAACTCAAAGGTAAATGTTCACACAAGATAAATGCGAATATTTAACCAGCACAGTAGAGAGCCTGGCTAACCAGAAGGTAACCTGTCAGTACCCTGTATCATGCCTGCAGGCTGGGAATCAGCCTTGCGTGCAGGGATGTTCACTGCAGAATATTTTACCTAAATTGATAGGAGAAGATTGATGCAATAAATTAGGACCCATCCATGAAATAGAGAACTGTGCAGCAATTAAAGGTGACGATGGGGATCTTTCTTATTGTAAAAAGCATTCACGATGTAATCAATGTGAACAGCATGTTAGGTAATATTTTACATGGTATTATTCAGTTTTGATTTAAAAATTATACACACGCACAGGTAGCTCTGAGCAGTAACATTATGGAAGAAATTTACTTTATTCATGTTTTACAACAAGAAAATATTACTGTTAAAATTAGGAAAACTTTTTATTTTGAAGGAAAAACATTTGTAAAAGCTTAAAGGTTGAAAAGAAGAATATTGGAGTATTTATTAGTCATAAAAAGGAAATGCTGTGTTTTAGAAAGGCCTCCAGCAACTCTCAAATGGCTACAAAGCTCTGTTCATCGAATCCTGGGTCTTTAAGTATTCAGAAATCTATTTTAATTAAAAACCGACTTGGAAATCATAACTAAAATAAAGGTAGCCTCAGTGTCTCAACTCATAAGAGCCATATAACCCAAAGCTAATACTAAAAGAGGGTCACCTAATTAACCCTCCTCAAAAACTCAGCACGTACACCAGTTCTACATGAAGCAGGGCAGAATTTGTATTCAATAGTTGTTTCAGGGAATCTCTTTTATTTGCCTCCTAGCATCCCTAATTTGTGCAAAGATTGGATGCTGTTCACTTAAAATCTGTGTTTGTATAGCCATAATTGAATGTTTAAAGAAACTCAAAGCTTCCCTGGAGAAGCATTTTTCACAGTGATGCTGTCTGCCTACAGAGCTGCGGGGACCGCTTTATGACTTATCGTAACTCTCCTGGGTCCCCGTGGGCTCTCAGGCCATCCCTCAAACAGGTGCTCTGTGCAACTGCATCTTTGATCAAAATGCTTTATTGGACAGGCTGGCCAGCTTAGACATCCGTTTTTCCAGTTTAGGATAATTAGAAGTGATGGCGGGAGATCACACTCCCCCCGTCTCTCAGATCCACCGAGCTTTCTGTGTTTTAGGCCTTGGCCCATCACCGACTGGAGGCAGGTGCTGCGGGAAGGCCCACGGCCCGCTGAATTTATATCTGCCGGTCTTCGCGCTAGGGGAACTCCGGCATTGGCTTTTATTCCGTCTGGAATAATTCCAGACCTCTCTTAAGGGGCCAATCTAATTAATATTCACTCAAACGGTAGAAGAAAGGGCATTTTAAATTTGTCAGACATGGGAGTAAATATTTGGGCAGGTGTTTATTTGATAGCATCTCTTGGAGCATCCTGGTGCAGGAGGGAGAAACGTGGCCGGTGCAGAGATAGCGTCGGATAGGTTAGGGGTGGGCTGAATAGTCACCCAGAGGATACGAATCCATGGTTCATGTTGACCCAAACCATGTTGGACAGCCGGACTGAGATGCGGTCAGTGGCCCCGGGGCTGTGTCCGAGGCCTCGTCCTGGCCCGCAATTTCCTGAGCCATCTCTATGAAGACATCAGAGGTGCGCTGACCACACTTCTTAACAACGCCAGGCTGGAGGGCTAACTGCTCTGCATCACAGAATCCGGATTATAGAGATTTCAGCAGTGTGGCTCAATGGGCCAAAACCAACAAGGTGAGATTTAATGAGGATAAATGTAAAGTCCTATGCTTGGGTTAGCGGAAAACAAACGTAAGTTCAGAAGGAAATTTACTCGTAGTTCTCATGAATGAGACCCACAAACTCAACATGAGCCCCTGAGGCCGTGTGGCTGCTCTAAGGTGATTGCCAGCCATGTGTGTGCAGGGGTGCCATGGCCCTAAACCAGAGTGGCTGTTGTCCTGCTGCGCGGTGACCCTGTCGGATCACTGAACCCTCCAGAACACCCCCCCGTGCCGCTCCACGATGTCCTTAAGGCCAGGGTCTCAGCTGCCTCCTCCACCTGCGTCCCCAGGGTCTGGCTGGTAGTGGGCACCTGTTAAGCACTTACCGTGTGAGGGAAGGACGGAATGCAGACAGTCTGGACCAAGCCAGAAGTGAGTCACCAGGAGGTTAAGGGTCTGTCTTGGGTGGTGTAAGAAACTAATTATTCAAGGAGACACAGGGCTTGGAGT